AATGTTTTCACTATCCGTTTCCTGGTAACGTAGTTTAACACAGGAATTATAAGAGTCACACTCCAGATATCAATGTACAGCAACACACATAAAGTCTTCAAATTACACATTAGGTCTTCGAAGGTTGACTTCTTGTACTCTCCTTCATATACTAACTTCCCGTGGTTATCTCCTACCGGTAATTAAACTTAACTACTCCTTCAAACTGCCTCTTATACGTATAGTCGCGGCACGGACCATGCAGCACAGAAAACACAGCTCTCCCATTGCTGTTGAAGCGTGTTACAACGCAATTGCCTAGCAAACGGACTCGGCGCGGACCACACAGAAAACCTTTAATTATTGTCGCTTATTATTATAGCCGCATGTTTACAGCTCTGTTGCCTAGTAGTTGGTCGATACGTCACAAGTGTCTGCCATCCCTCACTTTGTTCCTGTATCCTCTAATTTGTTCATATTAGTGAAACAAGCAACTACTTTCATATACCAACATTTCTTATTTATCTGTTTTGGTGCATATTTTGACATTTCTTGGATATTTCATTCCTGTTGCTTGAATTCTATTCCGACCTCCCTTCCACTACGACCTACTGCGCTGCCATATGGAATCTCCTAGGTGAAAATTTTCGAAGGATCATGCATTGAATTATGTCGCGATTACAAACGACTCCATTACCTACAAAAGGATTATAATAGACTGTACTATGTTCGTGTTACCAGTACGAACAGCCATTTTACGTAATTCTGAAGCTTATCATGTAATGTTATTCTTATTGAAGCGCTGATGGTTTTATTTTAATAAAATGATATCTGTGTTATAAGGAATTTCATCAAATAAGAACCTTCCATGGTACGTAATATTGAGAGTGATGTCACAAAATGCTGAAACAGGGATCACTTCCGGGTAGGTAATACTTGTTAGGAAGGATTTGTTTCGCTCTGATATTTTCCGAAGCTTTACCTACCGCAGAATACACACCGTATTTCGTATACGATTGATGAATTAAAAATGATTTTTAGAGGTGTGATCCTAGTCTAATTAAAGTAATGTTCATGCATTTACTTGGTGGGAATGAAGAAGACTACGAAAAGCCTCCGTCAGGACAGCCGGTGTCCCTGCCGAAATTCTAAACCAACAGACCGCCCCCCCCCCCNTAGTACTGTCTTCTGGGAAAAAACGTCGTGTAACCAGTTGAAAGTCAACCGCTATTTTCAGTGTGGAATAAACCGAGCAAGCTATCAGAGTGGAAGCAGGTGGCAAGCCTTATTCTTGAGCTATTCAAAAAACTTCTAAAAATTTAGCTAGAATTCACACTACACCACAAACTATAATTCATTCCCTTCCATATCATAATCGATTTTCAATACGGACATGCTGAATACGACGAGCCTTCTGTAAGTACGCTGTCATACAGGATGATGCACAAATAGGTTCACTGTTACCTACACCGTGTCCCACAAGCTGATTCTTTACTCACTGTAGTCAGCCGTATCTGTGAGAAATGTCTGACGTCCATCTCTTAAGAAACGTCGTGAGATTAAAACATATTCTCTCTACTTGCTCCTCTCCTTCTCTCTTCTTTTTCGTATGTTTGTATTCCGTTAGATGAATTTAAACGATTTCTTACGTACAGTTTACGGAGTATACGGACACTCTCAGTAGCTCACATTGTACAACGTCGACTGTGAGGACCAGTGACTAAAGTGTTGGAAGGGATTTGGAAGGAAGCGTTCTTGGACTGATTGTAGGCAATATACAATAATTTGTCTGTAGTAACTCACTCTGACAGGTTAGCCGGCCTTAGGACCAAGAAACGAACCCGGGACTGGAGAACACGAAACAGTTGCGCAACATTCTTGACTAAATTTCATTAGGGTTTACCATATAAAGGCGTGATATATAGAAAATCATAAACATAAACAAAGTTTATGTTAATGAACTTGGCAGTGATGCCGGAAAATGAACGATAATGAGAGCACATATGTTTGAAAATTGTTAATTTTGTTATTAGAAGAATGGGGTCGCGCCATAGCTCAAGCGGTTAGTCGCTGGCTTCCCACCGCGGCGGCCCGGGTTCGATCCCGTGTCTGGTCAAGTGGAATTTGTGGTGGACAAAATGGCGCTGGGGCAGGTTTTCTCCGAGTACTTCGGTTTCCCCTGCCAATCTTCATTCCACCAATTGCTCCACAATCACCCTCGCCTATCATCTGGGGCTGGTACAATAGGCCAGAAGTGGCCGCAGTACAAGGGACTTAGCCCCACCCCACTAGCAATAAAAAAAAGTGATGGAGAGGGGTTTTAATGTTTTAGTAGGAACTGAAATTTGTGCAGTAGCAAGCCCTGATACCTAGCGGGCTGGGGCAGCAGTATCACTCTAGACTCGTATTCGAAGGTGCTCGGATCGAGCACTGACCGTTAAATATGTGAATGCAATTTTCCACACACCTTGCCCACCAGGATCTGTGTTCTGAAGGTCATAAAGTGACATGCGCTTGGGTCCAGGAACTCATAAACGTTATATCTGGGCAGTCACCATGAAAAATAGAAATAGTTTCTGGAGTCGCAGTGCAGAGTTTTCTGCGCCAGCACACCCCAATATGTCAGCAGTCCACTCACCTCACCTAGCTCCTCCCAATCGGCGAGTCGCAGATGAAACGGTACATGCAACAAACGTTCATGCTGGAGGGACAACCTAGAGAAAATTACTGCTTTCTGTCTACTTAGACTGTCAAAAGAAGAAAGTCAAGACATATGAAAACTATTCCACCCCACCGCTCTACCAACTAAGTCACCAAGGAAAGATAGCTCACTTGGTATAACGACGGGATAGCCGCGCCATAGCTCAAGCGGTTAGTCGCTGTATTCCCACTGCGGCGGCCCTGGTTCAATACCGGGTCTGGTCAAGTGGGATTTCTGGTGGACAAAGTGGCACTGGGGCAGGTTTTCTCCGAGTACTTCGGTTTCCCCTGCCAATCTTCATTCCACCAATTGCTCTACAATCACCTTCACCTATCATCTGGGGCTGGTACAAGAGGCCAGAAGTGGCCGTAGTGCAAGGGACTTAGTCCCACCCCACTAGCAATAAAAAAAAAGACGGAATAAGGGCTGTGGGCTGGGGTTCGATTCCTGGCAGAGGTAAGATTTGTCTTCTCTCCAAAGCGTCCAGATCTACTCTAGGGAGCACCCAGTATCCTATCCAATGAGTTGTGGGGACTCTTTCCAAAAGCGTAAAACGGCCGGGGCGTGAAACTGACCACTCCTCTCAATTTAGAACCGAGGTAAACAATGGTAGAGCTCCACTCATCCAACATGTCTCCGTGGCATAGTTCTTAATTAATTAAGCACAGGGACAATTTTACTTCCTTGTAAGACATGTATGAGTACACTATGCTGTCTCAGCGAATTTTGGGCTGTAGAGGAAGTGGTAAATATAAATAATGTTTCTCTTGGTGTGAGGTATTTGGAATAAGAGCCGTTTCTCTTCTCACTTTCATTACGGAGGCATAAGTTGCCGGCTTCCCAGCCACATATTTTAGACTTTTTCAACTTTGGAACATTTCCATTACACATAAAAACATTATTTTACGCTGTTCTATTTTATTGGCTTTTATTATTTGTCGCAAAGCAAGAATTCAAGTCATGTTTTAGCTTAACTTAAAGTACAGTTCTATTTTCTTCCCTCCTCTTTCTCCTAATTTGGAGCATAGAGGGGGTTTCTTAGTTTCATGATCATTTTAGAGACGGGAGAACCCTTGAACGAATGATCAGCTCGACGTAAGGCCTCTACTTAAACCCTGGACAACACAAACACAGAATAAACACATACACATACCAAACAGCCATGCTTTGTGTGGGATTCGAACGCACGATCAGAGCGAGTGAAGACAGTACGTGCCTTAGACTGCTCGGCTACCGTGATCGGCAAATATAAATTTATACCATTTATGAAAGCTTAATTATATACGGAAGATGGACATATGTGCAATTCCTGATGAAGTTGCTGTGATGGATCTGGTACAAAGAAATTAAATTTACACTTGAATATGAAGTAACACATTTTCATTTTTTTTTATCTTGGGAAAACCTGCATGCAGTTGTGCTGGAGCAGCTACAAATAGCTTACTAGAATCATATATATCTGAAATTCCAAAGAGAGTTTCGTCATTTTAATGCAGGATCACAATATTTTATAAAAGTCCTGCCCCTCAAGAAATGCTCTCCTGTGATCATGAAAATGAAATGTGTGTCAGTCCAAGAACCTAGGGAGGTTGAATGCAAGTGGCCATCATGAAGAAGAAGAATTTTTGAAATTGCAATACAGATTTCTTTCATGGACATGCCATCAAATTTAACGTTCATTTCCCCTTTAGCAATTTGAATGAAGTCACTAAAATATATTCCCATTGACTCTTATATGAATGAATGACCTTATATCAAGTAGCATTAAAATTTGGCCAAGGGAGCAGCAGGTACATGTAAAAACATTCTTATAGTTTTAAATCTTTGTGTCAGTTTACCATATCGATTTTAATTTTAAATGTCTTGTGGTGTTTCTCTACAACGCCTGCTCGAAACAATTTTGCTCCAATAAATATTTAGTGATTCACGCTGGAGGTGTCCCCAGAAATGCATACAGATCTTCATTTAATGTGTCTGATATATATGTCAAATTCCAAACAGAACTGGAATGGTTAGACGAAGTTAGGTGAAACTCTACTGTATACTCGTAGATCACATTTCATGAATAACTGTTCAAAAGATCCCTAGTTTCTGCCTACGGACACACAGACAAATGATACAACCAATGTATCAGTCGCATTTTATTTCCACTTTTCATTGCTAATATGCCATACAAAAAGATGATGCCACTTCATCGGTTTTCGGTAGTGACTTCCTCGTTTCAGAGTGAAATTGCCAACAGGCTGATCGGCAGTGTTCTGATCCAAGTGCCTGAGGAAATGTAGGATGGAAGTGAAAGCAGTAGAATTTGTGTACTTACGTATTGAGTTCGAGATCAAGACGGAACTTATGATTGAAGGCCTTAATGAGCAGGGAGGTCCGGTGGAAGTGTTTCCCCGTCTGTAAACACAAACACAAACACTAAAGATAGCAGACTATCATCACAAAAACACAAATAAGTTCATATGTAAATAAGATCTAAAAGTTTGTGACGATGGTACATTGGTACACATATGATGTTTTGGACCTTATCATCTTCTTGAATTTAACTAAAATCGTCCTGTTTATTTTTCAAAACACAACGTATCGGAGACTGGATTCCGTCTCCATCTTTAGGTAAAACATACTCAGTTGGGTCCAATCGATAAAGCTAGTCCCTATCTCCACATCGACCGCATAGAAAACGCCGTAATTCTATTGTTGCCTTGCGTGTATTCGGTCGCGAGGTGTTTGACGTCAGTTACCTAACAACGCTATGGCCATCCACGTTACAATATATAGTCATCTACCATAGCAGGAGTTTCGTCCAAGGATATTACTCTATTTATTCCCCATTGAATATTCAGCTTCTTAGGGATGGCTCCATTACAAGGAACATCCCATATGATGAGTATCATCTGTTACACTAAGGAGAAACTCTACTGCCCCAACAAGGACATCGCCGTTTTGTTTGCGCCACCTGAAATACGGTTTCATATGGATCTGACTATTAGCTGGAAGGCCCAATAAGTTCTGTAGCCTTTTCGCTGAACAACTGCATTTTCAGGTCAAGAGCACTGTCCTTCTCATTGCCCCACCGCAAATTCGGTTTGCTACTGCAGGCTGCTTTGGAAGGGGCAGTCCACAAGATCTTGCAGCCTTCTCACTCTACTAAAGGTAAAAGGTAAATTTGTCCTTGTCTACTATCAGATCAAGGACACTACCTTTTTTACTGTTGCGCCGTAAATTTGGTTTCATAATGGCCATTCTATTGGACAAAACAGCCCATGAGATCCCTAGACTTTTATTTACTCGGATGCTGAATTGGTTGAACAAAGAAAACTGTAGTGTTAGGAGGACGAGCAAGCGACGATCCTTCACACAGAGCCAAAGAAGTCATATTTCTATGTAATTTATATTTTTATTATTTAATGATTATCAATATAGAGATTGCATAGTGTCGAACATATGCTACTTCCATTCCTACGATAACAACAATCACCCTGTGAACTGATATACAGTAAATTAAAAAAAAACAAATGTTATAATATTTATTTCCTGTTTTTAATTATTGTTATTATTAATATTTTGAAAAACTTGTACTCTTCTCCAAGTATAATTAGAATGATCAAGTGAAGGAGGATGAGGTGGGCAGGTCATGTAGCACGAATGAGGGAGACGAGGAATGCGTATAGGATATTGATGGGAGAGCCGGAAGGAAAGAGACCACTGGGAAGACCAAGGCGTAGGTGGGTGGACAATATTAGAATGGATCTTAGAGAGATAGGATGGGATGATATGGATTGGATAGATCTGGCTCAAGATAGGGACCTGTGGAGGGCTCTTGTGAACACGGTAATGTACCTTCGGGTTCCATAAAATGCTGGGAAATTCTTGAGTAGCTGCAGAATTGGCGGCTCCTCCAGAATGGCTCAGCTCCATGAGTAAGTAAGTATTAATATTTTGAAATCATGTGTTTAATCAGAAACCTAAGAATTCTATTGTCAGATAGAATAGGGGTCCAATTCGTGCAATATAGAATATTTACATTAAAAACTACTGTATTAAGATACTAGTGAAATTATGATAACACGGTAAGCCGACAGTGTGCTACATGCACTGGTTGAAGGCAGTACTAATCTTCCGGTAGATGGATGTGCCAGTGATACATAGTTTCTCTGTCACCAGCTGTCGTAATTTTCTTTAAGAATGCTTATTTAGAAGAGCTTCTTGAAGCCTGAATTTTGTATTTAGATGAAATGATTAAGCAGTGAATACAGCACAACGCCTACTGTTAACCCAATTACTTTTAAAACAAGAATAGAATATTTGGTTTGGAGTCAAAGAATTGCAAAGCAAGGGAAGAAAATGTCTAAGTGTGGCACGATTGATATGTATTTGAAATACACTAATATGACTTCTGATGAAAAACTTGTGAATATTTCTGTTCTGTATTTTACGTCTTGTCTTTTTACGTCTTCCCGGTCTTGTGATGCACTTATGACATTTTTACATGTAAAAGTACGACAGCGATGTCCGTATTGATCTCTCATTTTATTCTCGTCTTAAAAAAACCTGAACAAGAAATGAACGCATGAACGGCGGGAGCCAGTTCCGAGCATTTCAATTCTTGCATCCATTGAGGCGTGTTCTTGATACGCCTTAAGTTCACTTCGAGTCATATAGACTCTTTTTTCTGTCTTCGAATCTCCTTCTTCCTCTTCTTTTCAAGCGTTTACTTAAATTTCTTCTGGTTCCTTTATTTTTTGCAGAGTTTATTGTCTTTTTTGTAGAAACAAACTTTGAAAAGCTTGAAATTTGTATGCAAAGTTATTCAACAAGTACAAGATTTCTGTTCCCTTTGACCGAAACTTTCCAACATCCAACCAATCCCGCCTTATCTATAATGTTTATAATACGAGTAATCATTAATTTTCTACCATAATACCAACATAACCCGTCGTTCGTTCAATCTTCATTATGGCGCCATCATGGAAAGCTGTGCCATTGAGGCAGGTTCTGTTAAACTAGCCAAAGAGAGGCTTATATTTTCTGCTTCTAACCCATAACATACTCACTCGTATGCGTAGGTAAGGTCGTCCTTGTACCTGATTTTTTCTATTACTTGTGTGGTGGGACTAAGTCCCTTGTACTGCGGCCACTTCTGGCCTATTGTACCAGCCCCAGATGACAGGTGATGGTGATTGTGGAGCAATTGCTGAAATGAAGATTGGCACGGGAAACCGAAGTACTCGGAGAAAACCTGATCCAGCGCCAATTTGTCCACCACAAATCCCATTTGAACAGACCAGGGATCGAACCCGGGCCGCCGCGGAGGGAATACAGCGACTAACCGCTTGATCTTGTACCTGATTAAAGCCAATACCATGAAGTGGAGACATTGGTGAAGAAGAGTGGATGTCTCGCTCCAGGTTATTTTAAGCCCTGCAATAGATGGAGGCGTGTGTTCAGCTTCACGCCTGGTAGGTTTTACCCAATACACAGAAGCTTCCGTAGCATTGGAGGAGACAGGGTGAGCCCTATAGAAGACCTGGACGAGGTGAAGAAGAGAAAAATATTATGACCTGACACAGAATCGAGTCACGATATCTCGGTTATCCAACAGTTGGCCTAGTCTCTACACGGACTGAGATATCCCACCCATATACGTGTTAAGAATAGGGATAGCTATAAAAATGTTTCCTTCCTAACTTGCCCACTGGACTTCGCAAAATGAGGACAAATGACTCCACGCTATGCCAACGGCAAAAAAAAAAAAAAAAAGAAAAGAGTACTTCAACTGGGCATAATTATTTCCTTCGTGAGTTTGTTTTGCCTATTGTCTAGATGCAAATGGAATTCAATATCTTCATTCTTTCCACCTGATCCATTTTCTGTCGTGGCTTCTGAAATCCATGACGTGAGTACACTGTCCCGTGTTGACAGGCAATTAGGTCAGAGTATAATTTCCTTTCAGTTCCTTAAATATAAACATTACAATCTGAACCAGCCTCAAACGAAATTCGTTAATCCTGACAGCCAGTCGTATTGACCATGCTGTCTAAGGCATAAAATTAATTCGCCCGTTCTAAAACTGGAATCATGGTTTCGAATACCTAACGAGACATGGATAACTGCTCTTGTTCTGTATTGTTCTGAACAGGCAGTGGCCTTGCGACGGGCTGGTCACCCATTCAAAGTGTCCTACAGACTGTTGGTAAAAATCAGATTTCAGAATTAATAACACTGCACACATGACAGGCAACAGGGATGCCACAAAAAAGACAATACATGTCACAGAGAAGGTGAAAGTACGTTGCTTTCACTTTTTTTTTTATTATTGCTATTGGGGTGGGACTAAGTCCCTTGTACTGCGACTACTTCTGGCCTATTGTACCAGCCCCAGATGATAGGTGAGGGTGATTGTGGAGCAATTGGTGGAATGAAGATTGGCACGGGAAACCGAAGTACTCGGAGAAAACCTGCCCCAGCGCCACTTTGTCCACCACAAATCACACTTGACCAGACCCGGGATCGATTCCGGGCCGCCGCGGTGGGAAGCCAGCGACTAACCGCTTGAGCTATGGCGCGGCCTGTTGCCTTCACTTAAAGAGACTGTAAATACGAACGCACTGATCGCAGTAGCGCTAAAGCACAGCAGTTCCCTCCCCCCGAATTTCAGCGCACATGATGATTACCGAGTAAGCAGAAACATGTAGTGCAGTGATAAATTAGAAAAGGATCGAATTTGAAAATCTTGATTATTGTGGAATGGTGGATGAGAAAAAAAACGGTAGAAAACAGAATTAATGAATTCTGAACGAGCACCGACCAGAGAGCGTAATTCGTCGAGGAAGAAGAATGATGATAGATTTCATGACATTCCCCCATTTTTCTTTGTGTAACGGACATAAAAGTTCATTTCCATATAAAGAAGTGGTTGAACTTAACGGATAAGAAATGACAATCAAATTCGCCCGACAAATCAGACGTAACGCAGCAACAACTACTTTCTGCGAAATCAGTTCAGAACATCCGACCTCCTCGTGCTGGTCTATGAACTTCGTGGAAAGGACACGTCAGACTTCTACTATGTATGGTTTCTTACGCATTTGACAATGTGTGCCAGGTATATTTAAGGGAGGCAGAAAGGCACAAGAAACTGTCTATCGGTAAAACTCTCGACTTGTGTTGGGAGGAGCTCGGTTAGGGACATCAGTTATAATAACTGTTGTATTTCTTGGTTTTACTCAATCCCTTCAGGAAAATGCCTGATGCACAGCGCCTCAATTAGGACACGACCACTGCATTCCAATTTCTTTTTACCAATTTATTATCCTTGTATCATCCTAGCCGTCTTTTTTGTTTATTGCTAGTGGGATGGGACTAAGTCTCTTGTACTGCGACTAACCGCTTGAGCT